CCATTCTAGTTCTCGTTTGGCGAGCAGTTGAAGTTTTGAGCGTATCCGATTTTGCGGTCTCGCGTAGGGCATGGCGAGCGATTGGTGGCTAGGCATTGACGCAGAGATTTTTGGCTGTGCTGAGCGAGCGCTTGGTGATGAAGACCAGGGAAGGAGACGGAGGTGGTGGGTAGCAGAGCATGCGGTAATGAGATGGCTAGGAGATATACCGTGGGGACATGGTTCGGCTGTTTGCTAGAGATTACCCTATTTGATGCCTTGATATCCATGACATGAGTTCTCTAGTCATTTCTGTGAGTGTGAGGCTTTCAATTGGCAGCAAATCTTGTGAGGGCTGCACAGGTCCATCTCGAAGTAGCCGACATTTCAAAACTCGCCAAAACACGCCGCAAACAAAGCCTTAACATGGTTACAGTAACGCAGCTCCTTTCCACACGGTACATCGGTTAGTTCAGCTCCTCTAAATTGCTTTGTCCCTTTTCACCAGGGCTTAGGGAACAAGTTGTCTCCACATTGCAAATCTGTGGACAGATGCTCCTTCCAAAGGCTCACGATGGACTGGACGCGGTCAATAGTAACAAGGATTTTTGTATTTTGTTTACTTGTTTTTACGTTTCTTGTGATTCCGATCAACTCCCACAAGACCATGTGAATGAAGAAGGTGCTTTTGTTTTGTCCTGGGTCTGGTAATCACCACGCTTCTCTTTCTGGTGTAACAGCTCGCAACGCTGCTAACGGAGATCCTAAACCAATTTGCGCTGAAATTTCAATGTTCTTCAAAGGAAGCCAAATTCCGTAATACAAAGTCTGTTGTGGATTGGGGTGGACAGGTACCAACCCCTCTCGGAAATATTCAGAAGGGTGTGAGAGAAAACTTTGCCAAGCAGCAGTTCCGCATTCGAAATATCGGCGCTCCTGAGGTGCCGGAGACGGTCCTCGAATCGAGTTACGCCTCTTCAACACGTAAGGCCTTTTTCTTTGCCTTTTTGCTGCCGTGAACCTGTTCCGATGCAGGATTAGCTGGAGGTTCCGGAGGATAAACCCATCCCACCTCGGGTGGAGCGAAGAAATGCCCAAGCGTTGAGTCTGCACCTGGCTCTGACTCTGTCGTCTTCCCTTTCTTCTTTTTCTTTTGAGGTGGCGAAAGAGGGACGAATCTTTGGGTTGCGTGGACCTCGTCCAGTAGTTGGCTTTCCCCCAAGGGTGGCGCTTCGTGCGGCTCCACGACAGGGGATGCCGCAGAAGGATCCACGTTAGGAGGACCATAAGGGCCATAGTCAAAGTTCTCTTCCTGTTCTTCTATATCTTGTGCTGCATCCCATGTGTCAAGATACTCGATAGATCCTCCATGGTTGTCCTCAAGAAATGAGGTCTGGTGTTCCCACGGTCGGTTCGATTGCACTGTCTCATTTCAGCTCACCCTGTCCAGGCCAGACTTGCTGACAAAAGTAAATGATTGACAAACTGGGTGGATTGCTATGTGGAGCAAGCCGATTCACAATCTGCAAAGCCCGCCTCAGGCTTTCCAGTTTCTCCGTGGTCATGGCCCGTTGCAGACGCGAGTCTTCGGGCTCTGCTGCGATGGCTTTGACAGTTTCCTCGTCAAGATCGTGAACGATTTCAGGGGAAAACATGCTTTGTACATGTAGCATCAGACATCGCTCGATTGCGAGCGCGGCGATATTGTCGATGACCATCTTCATGGCGACCTAGATCATAGAACCAGAAACAATAGTTCCATCTGCTTCTGGGAGACTTTACGGGTGCGGATAAGTTGCTTACCTTGTAGTAGGCTTTCATGCATTCAAAAACCTCTTGACACGCCCAATTCTCCATGTCCACTTCGGTCTTTGGGTGGATGGAATATAAGAGGGACGTGACCTCATTGTCATTCAGTGGTCGACTTCTCACTGTCTCGGAAATTCGGGCAACCACAGGCGCCAATCTTTTTTTGAAAACTTCGTACCTCGCCTTTTGGATTGTATCGGTGAAGTAATGGTTGTATGTAATCGGATGGCCTTTCCTATGCGGTTGCATGATTTCGGCAACTTTGTTTTTCAAATTGAACACCCATCTTTCCATTGCAGGGTCGATGATGATGCGCATCACACCCTTGCCGGTCACCTTTTCCACGGTATGATCCATGGCTAAGTCGAGGAATCTTCGTACCGCATGTACGATCGTGTTGACTGAAGTCTCGACAATGTGAAGCCATGGCGTCGACTGTCGATGAAAAAGATCCCCAATGATCAACGGGTTGAAAGTACCAGATAGCTCACATCCACTCGTTCTTCTCATCAGTTCGCGAATGTATGCAATGTACTGATCGCGAGATATCCACTTCGTGGAGGTGGATGTATCTGAAGCCGACGTTCCGTCCCGTATCTTTTCGTACTCTCCGTCGATCCTCATGGCTTTCGCAAACTTTCGGAGAAGGTCTTTTACATAGGCCCTGAGACGCTTTTGGAAACCCAAATCCGTCATTGGATCACCGAAGAAGTCGGAGGCATCTGTGTACGTTCCGTTGACCGCTGATTTGACCAGCATTGAAAAAGATTGGCTTGCTTTGATCAAATACCGCTGTTGCTCTAAAATCGTTTTTCTCGAATCCCCAAGCCGACGGAGTTTATCGATACAGTCCTCGATCCCAGACTGGATGTCCCGTGCTAAATTTGGGAGTTCGCCCATGATGTGATTCTTGAGGATCGTACTCAGCCGAGGTTTCAAAGACTCCACGCCCTTGATTTCCGGTGAGAGAGATTTCCAGACGCCGTGAGCAAAGAATTCGCTTTCTTTGGCATTGCGCTCCTCGATGGAACAGTTCCGACTGTCGTAATCTCTGTTCTTCAAGACATGCCAACCCAAGCGGAGAACAACGTCCTCATTCTTTGCAAGATCAAGGAATTTGCCTTCACTCTCCGAGCCAGCATCCAGGCTGTCTGGCTTTGTGATGATCCCCAAAGTCCTTGTTTTTTCCGGATCGAATTCTCGAGCCATTTTGGTGACAATTTGATTCGCGTAGTCGTTTTTCGCAGAGACCACGGCAAGAATGATGCTCCTCGGGTTCTCCATGTATCTTCGGACAACATTCTGAACAAGAGCCACATCTTCTGCTGACTGCTGTCTATTTTCAGCGTGAATGACGCCAGGAAGATCGACAAGCGTCAGATACGGCTGCTCCGGACCGGAAATCTGAACCCTCAAAACGTCATCGGTAAACGCTCCCGTGTCCGCGTCAACCCCGAGGTGCTCCTTGGCGGATTCCACCAGAGATTCAAAGTTGTCGATGTGCACGCAGGGTGGTTTAAAATTGGAGAGCCGTTCCTTCTCGTCCTCGGTCCTCTGCGGACCTGGTATGATAGCGACAGTCGCACTTTGCGTGGGTCCTCTTCTGAGGATGACTTCTGTAGCAAAACGAGTGCAGAGATTGTCTTTCATCGGGAATCGTACTCCAGACACCGCTTCCAAAACGGAGCTTTTGCCGCTTGACTGATCGCCGCACACGATTATCTGTGGTAGTGGTACATAATTGCTGATGCCGTAAGATCGAAGCTGATTGATTATGTCGAAAATTTGGCCGAGGCTCTCGGACTGAAGCGAGATTTGAAAGTTGCCAGACGTTGTCATTGTGGATAACTGATGATTGTGATCATATACAACGACAATGCATTGATGAGAAATCTGGGCCGTTTTGAGGGACAGATTGTTCAAGGAAAGGTTTTGAAGAGTTGAAATTGCCGGTCTTCCGTAAATGACTCACTAACGCGGCAGAGCTCTGGTCTGACCGGCATCAATGCAGCATCTACAAGGTTCGCAGAAGTATCTCAGTAAGCGGTTCCGTATTCTTTAGCAAAAGTGGGAAACTCTCGCACGAATACACATGTGCAAAGGACCGGCAGGATTGCAATGCTTCTGAACTTCGACGCTGTACAAAAAGTGACCGTGGCAATGTACTTTGGTCGACAGCGCAAGGTACTTACTATTGTGTTGCAGAGTAGATCAAGGGCGAAGTGCAGGGCGAGCAAATAAGCTTCAGACGAACGACGAGCCGAAAAAAGAAAACCAACCCATGATTCGAGCACGGAAATGCGCTCATTGGTAGATAGTCTTTATCTTGGAACCATTGAGCAAACTTTGCTTTAAGTATTGGTAAGCAACATTGTCCCAGCAGCACGGCATCTAAGAGGAAACGCACATACGCGGAACTTTCAACTGCACACTTACTGGGAATGCGACACATTCAGCTTATAATCGAAGCTTGTGAAGCGTCCAGGGCAGGGCGGCCAGCTTGATTGTACGTGATCTTCGGAGTGTGTGAGACCAAAACGAGAATCACCACCCCTGGTGAACCTTGCGCCCGCTTTCGGGCTTGCCTGAGGAATTTTGGGACTTGGGCGGATGTAGGTCATGGAAACAAAATGCTCCGTGTCAATGGAGGCTTTAAATTTTGGTCGTCGCGATCACTGCGAACAAAAGCCATTGAGTTGTTAGAATTGCAAAGAGTTTGGGACGTTCAAGAAGACGTTGGATGAAGACGAGCTCGAGAAGGAAGCGACGGCGCTAGCAGGGATGAGGCGGCGCTAACACGCTTCCGAAGCTGCGCCGAGCATCAATATCTACGAACGCGAAAAGCAACTGGGTTAGTTTCAAGCTCTCCAACAAATGTTAGTCTAGTGCCTTAACTTTTGTAAGATAATTGAAGATGTAGTAGAATCCAAATGACCTGAGATGCTTACCTCCTAGTTCGAATGAGCAGGCGCGCCGCAGGCGCGCCGCGCTGTGACCTCGGGATCGCTCACTCCTGAAGAAGTGATCATAATGAAAATATGAGACCCACGTCATTGACCAACTACCTGGAAAGCTGGCACCAGACAGCTTCCAGAAGTGTATAGAAGGTTGTAAATAACTGGCCAGCTGGCTTCTCTACCAGAACAGCATTGGGGAGTTTCCTGCCAAGATTTGCAGTATATATACACAACTTTGCATATTCTTTTCAACAAGGTCGATTGGTCTAGTTGGTCATGACGTGGGTCTCATATTTTCATTATGATCACTTCTTCAGGAGTGAGCGATCCCGAGGTCACCAGTTCGATCCTGGTATCGACCATGTTTTTTGCCTTTTTGTCCCTCTGAATCCGTGGACCATTGCAGTCCTTGGACTTGACTTTTGCTCTTGTGAGAAAGCACATTGTATGGAGAACATGGAGACAAGCTCGGAATACATTCAAATCTTGTTCAATATGATCCAGTTTTGAGGGGAGCGGTCGCTGATGGACAAACACGCCAAGCTCAAACATGCCAAGAACTTTTGCAGCATCCTAAACCAACGTCTCGCTTCTCCGCGGAGACACTCCAGTTTCCCTACACAAAGCTGCCGGTCGGAACATTGCATCCCTCGCTGCGAATGTCCTCCAGGATTCCGACGAGCACCGAGATGGAGATTCAAAGCCTCCAAAGACGATCTTGGTCTTCCGTTCTAACCGATAGAAGAGTCTCGCAGCGGCCAGATTCCTTCAGAGAGCGATTTTCGAGTTTCGACATTTGAAATCCAAGGGCCATCGCAAAATTGTCATCCTGACGACTTCGAAGCAGACCTGGACTCCTACGTCACTGGTCATCATTCCGTGGCTGCGGCTCAGCGCCACCCTTGATTCGGTCGCGCACCGGAGAAAGTCGATGTTGAACGGTGCCAAGTGAGACGGCCATTGGCCGGTTTGCTCATCTTATCTCTGCAGACTCCAAATCAATCCATAGGCACTCAATTCTTGCAGGCGAAGTCTTGTATACAAAGTCAACACCACGGAGGCTCTACAATTTTCCTAATCCTGCGATATTCGAATATGGGGAGCTCACGCTTTCGCATAAGTTTTGCGCGCCCAATGACCGCGGAGAAACGCAAAAAAGAGCATGGACTGGTTCCCTGGGCGGAGTTCCCCTTACGTTATGAGAAACGCCCAAGAGGCTGACAGCAGGTCACGTTGCTCTTCGGAACAAGCAAGCCATATGCTCCCCAAAGTCATCTCTGTCAAGGGATTTGCTGCGATTGGAAGAAAGAGCTCGGGAAACTTTGGAGCACTGCGCAATTGAGCCAGGAGTGGCGCGTACGTCTTGCAAACGTGCACGGGCCGGGGATTCGTCAGGGCCCTTTGAGCATGGCGGGCCTGCCTCGCCTGCAACCTCACTGCCAGACACAGAGAATGAACACGGCTGCAGCGGCACGTCACCAACTTTGGGTGTTGTGCTGTGGAAAATAGCCTGCGAGGCGCCCAAACTCCACTCCCACGTTTCCGGGCTGATGCTTTATGAATGGCGGCGGTGTGGTCATCCTGGACATGTCACAAACACCTCCTTCCCCTCGTGCCTTCTCCACCTCGTCTCAGGCATACATGAATTCTCCCTTCTTCAACCTCCCCTGAAACGGCTGGCGCTATGAGGCTCCCGGAAGCACGAAACATCCACTTCGATGTTGACGATTACCTCAACCGCATCATACCCCGCAACCGCATCTCCCGCCTCCCAAAGCCACTGGCCCGGTTCCTCGGGCACAGAGATACTGGTCGACCACAAATTGGCAACATACTCATCGCGACATGGGCGCTTGTTGGTGCATTTCTGGGTCTCATTGTCATCACCGCAGTCTATAGATTCAGCCCTGTGATACAGAGGGTCCACCCGCCAGTGATTGTGGCCAGTTTGGTATGTCATCCCTGTTGCGATCCTTTCGACATCGACTGACATGTGTCTAGGGTGCAGCTGCGATTCTCGAATTCAACGTCATCGACTCTCCTCTCGCCACGCCGCGCAATGCTATCTTGGGCAACACCTTGGCCGCTATTGCCGGCGTTGCTGTCGCAAAGCTCTTCATGTTGAGTGATGACTTTGAAAGTCTCAGATGGATAGCTGGTCCGCTGTGCTGCGGCGTAGCGTCGTGGCTCATGACAATGACAAACACGGCTTTTCCTCCAGGGGGTGCTACAGCCATTCTTGCCGCCACAGACACGACAGTGCGGAACCTAGGCTGGCTGTACATTGGTCTTGTCCTGTTGGGCTCCACACTCATGTTTGGGGTCGCCCTCATCGTCAATAACATCCAACGCCAGTTTCCACTGTACTGGTGGACACCACGGGACGTTGGGCCGCGAACTGCTCCCGACGTGGATGTGGAAAAGAAGGCACCGCAGGGTGCACAGGCCTCCGATCAAGGCAGTGAAGGGGACGTTGCAGAACTGCCGAACCGCATAATCATAACCGAAAAGAGTATTCTGATACCAGAGCACTTTGGACTAGGCCCAGAAGAGACGGAGATGCTTGAGGCATTGAGAAACAGGTTGCGGAGCGTAGATCCAACCTGGAGCCTTGTAAAGATATTATCCATCTCGGATTCCGAACGGACACATGTGCACTCAAGCCGAGAGTCCTTGCCGCGACCACGGGATTCTGGACAATCGTCGAGATGACTCCCGGACTAGGACTTAACGGTCTTCGATGTCCTTTCATTTAGACCTGTTGCTCGGGGCGCTCGGCGTTAGGACAGGAAAAGCAAGCACTTCCGTTTGGCTCGATGGTTCACGGGGTACATTTCCATTGTAAAGAGCGAGGAGTCAAGAAGTTGAAATTGATTCAAAGAGGGCATATCCGTCCTCTCCGCCGTACCGATGCCAAGGACTGAATCATCGTGATGTCACAAACGTTGTCCGGATATGCCGACTGATGATGTTCGCTGCCCGCAATCGGCAATTGAAGCACCAAAGGCAATTTCAGCGCACCCTGGAGGCTATCATTCTCCATCCTCTCCACCATGGAGCCGGACCGGTCCGTACTGGCTCTATGCTTCAGATTGAACATTCGACTCGACGCTGCTGCGCATTTTCTCGCATCTTGACAACTCCAACATCGCCCTGCGTCAATAGCAAGGTCAAATATTTTTCTACCCAAACCAATACGAAGCCAACCCACAATTCCCGGGCTCTTTGCGAATACGTTGTGAGTTTGGCATGAACCAGGGGCTCAGGGGTTGTCTCGCTGAGCGCTGCTGCTAAATGCTGACCTCATCTTGACACTCTAGACATGTTCCAGGTCAAACAAGTCGCCGCTCGACAACATCTGATTACTACGGTCGCTTTGATTTGATGGCACCACTTTCGCAACAAACTGCACCCAAAAAACAAGTCGGTCCATGCTCTCAAACACTGACAGACTCTCGCAAGCCGCAGTGCCAACCAAAAGAGGCGTCGGTTTCTTCAACTCCGCGTAGCCGCATGACAACCATACATCACCAGAATCCATGGCTCCATCTGCCCGGATAAGCTTAACCAGACTAGTCGACTTGCTCAGCAGGCTCCACGGCCTCAGCTGAACAACGTGACAACGAGTTGGCGAGCCGGACCTGCTCCACACCTCTTAGCGCACGGCGTACCATTGCTGGGTACAAAGCCAGGCGCACGATCCATCCGCCTCCACCACGCCACACCAGGCCGCCGGTTTCACCAACGACGACCCTCTCGCCTGCAATTGGCTGCACCTCTCCACCATCACCTCCTGTCGGCTTGCGATTCATCGAACACTTCGTGCTTATGCTCGCCAGAAGTTGCCAGACGCGGTGCGGAGCGGGAGCGAGCGAAGCCAGAAATGTCGTTTAAGCATCAAGCGCGCCTGGCAGCCGCAACGCGCCGCCGCCAACGCCAGGCTCAAACGCTCAAACCTCATGCGCATTGTCAACATTTTTTTTCAGCCGTCAGTAGTGGCCAAAGTCTCAGGTTGCCGCTCCCGTCCCGTGGTGGCGTAACCAGATGGAGGTGCGTGCGCAGCGCAGAACGGGGTCCTTGTGTGCCGGCATGGCAAGGCAACTCGTCGGACTGCCTGCCCCAGTCGAGAGGAGTGGAGAGATGGCTGGGATTTGTCACTTTAGGATTCGAGGTGTCCTACTGGCCGGGCATCGGGTGGTACGTGGGTACGCCGGATTGGAGTACATGATGAGGCCATGGATACGGGTGGAAGAAGGCTGGGGCCGCACACTAAAGAGGTAGCGTGGAAGCTTGCGCACTGACTTTGGACCATGGCGAAGGTTGTGGCTGGGCAAGTCTGGATTAAGCTTGTGTCTACTTACAGCGTGTGTGCGTGCTGATTTTAGTGCTCATCGCGAAAGCTCACCGACCCCTGCATATGCACGTCTTTGAGCCGCGTCGACACTTGGGATTGGTCTGTGATGTCATTGTCCAATTACATGGACCACCAATCACTGTTGTCTGCAGAACACGTCGACAACCAGAGCACTATCAGCTGAAAGCATTGATCTATAGACAGGGAAGACACACCGGCTGTCAAAGCAATGCCAACGTCCAATGCCGTTGCCAAAAAAAGGCAGGGGCAAAAAAATCCATATTCGACGAGTAACACTCAAACACACATCTCCCCGCATTCGTCATCCTCTCTCCACAATCTGAGCCGAAGACCAACGGGAAGGGGGCAGCATTACAACGACACCGCACTCGGCCGACGACCCCTTCCCTGACTGGGCCACCTCGTCGTCCAGCAAATCCAAGCCATTGCCATCCGAAGGCATGATTACCCCAACAGGCGGACCATGATAGCCCTACTACGTACCCTGCCTAGGAGCACTTCCGCTTGGTTGCTGGCCAGTCCCAGTTCTCCCCGGGCCGGCTAGTATCTCAAACAGCACCTCTTCCGCTCTGGGTAGATCCAACACCCAACACCCAAACCCCCGCTCTTAATCGCCGCCGCAGGACCAGGCACGCTCGCTCGCTCGACATGAACGCGTCTGCCGCACAAACCGACCGACTGACCAACCCGGATGGTTGGTTGGAAAGGACAAACTAGCATGAAATGAATGATGGCCTTTCGAAATCGACTCGGTTCACACGTGCTGCTCGCTCGCTCGCTCTTTTCCGACTCCATCCCATCATCAGATATCCGCCACCACCGTCGCCGTCGCGCATCCCTGATCCAACCAGCGAGCCGCAATTAGTCGCCACGCACGCTTCCCCATCTCCGCTCTAGCCAGGGGACTACCTGCCGCACAGCGTACCTGCGCAGCCAGCTGCAAGCATGCATGGCCTGGACTGACCGGCGCCCACGCATGCATGTCGA